CAGTTCAAACCCACTGAGTGGCTCTGCAGGAGAACAGACCTGGAGATCTGTACCTATAAAGATTACAGCCTAGGAAACCCTATGAGGCAGTTCTACTCTGTCATATAGGGTCACTATAAGTTGGAATCTACTCGACAGCACACAGTAGCAACAATGGGTATTGGAGGTACTGGGTGAGATAGAAAGAGGGATTATTTACCAATAAAATAGATCATGAAGACTCAATGCCACAAAAGACGTTATTTTGAGTTAGTAGAGTTGAGACACTCATGGACCCTAAGCAATAAGGACTTAGCTAGGGAAGAACCAGAAAAAGTATAGGGTGGAAACAAGAGAGTAATGAACAAACCTTGATAGTTTCCAAGTGTTGATCACCAGCCAGTCTTGAACGATAAGGAGGAACCAGCATGGGAGAAAGGCCTGCAGTTGACCAGTGGGGAAGTTAATACGTAAAAAGATACCATCCTTTGACTAAATTTTCTGTATGATTTCATGGTCTGACACTAATGTCTCAGTATTATATTTTACTCTACTTTCTTTATTGTCTATGTCCTATATTTTCAGCAACCATCAAGACAATGTATTACACTAGAATTCTTGCAAATGTACCAGTTTGTGGCGTTCATTGAAACAATTCTCCTCCTATGCTATCTGCAGTCTCACTTGAACTCAAATCCAAACTCTGAATATCTCCCCAAACTCTTAAATTGAATATATTAAAAAACACGTGAATCGTCTTCCTCAAATCTCATATTCCTCCACTTCCTTTTGTGAGTAATAGAAATTAATATTCATAGTACCTACAAGTCAAGACCTCAGAGTCAAAGATTCCCCAAAAATTCAGAGTCAAAAAGAAGCAGAGCCACATTTACAGACTTTTTGCTCCACCACTCCAACCCTACTCTGCTCAGCATCCAATCTGTTGCCAAGTCATGTAGATGCCATTCTGTACTCTATAATTTTGACAAATTAATGTTCCTAAAGCACAGCTCTAACCACAACATTTTCCTGCTCCCAAACCACTCTTCACCTAGTGGCACATTACTTTAATTGAACAGGAGCCATGAAAAAATAAATAGTCTCATATACTAAATTTATAATCCTAAACATAGTAATGGCAGTAATGTTGCAAGAACCCTGAATCATCACGGCACTGAAGGTTCAGGAAAGCATTGTGTACTATTAAGCCACTAATGAAGTGCAGAAGATAAATTCAGTTACAGCTTGAAATGGCAGTAGCATAAGTAATGGCAGCCTAGTTAATATGTAAACAGTCAAGTTTGCCCCCAACAGACTTGGTTTCTATTTGTAAATTCTCAATATTGTCAAAGATATATCTAAGCTGTGTTTGTACGTGCATACGTGTGTGTGTGTGTGTGTGTGTATGGAGAGAGAGAGATAGAGAATTTCATTTATTTTTAGTAATCTATTTTGCTCACAGCAATGTTCATTGGCAGAAATACTTTGATTTACAAGGACAAAGCATATATCACCAAGAAAATCCATTTGGGATAAAAGGGTTGCTCTAATAAACACATTACATCAGCAGAAATATATATTTTTAATACCATAGTTGTAAAGTTGGCCTACATTAGTGTTCCATGTTAAATAAAGGAAGACAGAGAGGAAAATGAAATGCAGAAAAGCTACATATCCATTGAATTTTTGGAATAATGTAAAGAAATAGAAGTCTCTTTAAGAGCAAATCTTATGTGTTAATGCTACTTCAAGTCATTGTTTTCATTGTCAGCTGAGCACCCAGAATACTCAGCAATTATTTTACTTCTCCCTCTTTAGCTCTCTTTCTCATTCTTACCACCACTACTCACCTCAAGCTCTTTACATAACTTGTAACTCCTTAACTGCCTTACCAAGTCATTGAAGAAGAAAAAAAGTGAGATTTCCAACACAAACATCCTGAAATTTCTGCCATCCTTCCTCCAGAAAATTACCTACGCTGCATTCATCATCCTCTTCCTTCCTATATATGAGAGTGACGTATTCTTCCTATTGTAGATCAGTTCTTACCACTTGTGTTTTTTTTTTTATTTTTATAATGTCGTGCTTACGAAAAATGTAATACATATGTTAAAATAAATTTTAAAAACTAAACTGTAAAAATAATATTAGAGAAAAACAAATCTTACACCAGCTCCTTAGTGCCCCTTCATTGAAAATATTTAATAACTTTTTACACAAATGGGGGCATAGCGTTTACTCTTTGTGCCATTTTCGATCCAATATGCTTACTTCTTCCTATATCTTCCAGCTCTGTTTTCCATGCTCCTCCTACCCACCATAATCTCCTTTACTTCCCCCTTAAATTTCTACATTCTCCAGTCTCTGTCCTTCCATTATCATTCTTTCCAAACTGCACACTTTCACTGGAATATATACATTATTTTGATTTTAACCACCATCTATTGTTTGACATTTACGAACTTCTATCTCTAAGAAACTTAGAGTTTTCTTACAACTAGCAAATCAGCTCCTGCTGGATATGTGCACTTGTGTTGTTGTTGTTGTTAGGTGCCATCAAGTCGGCTGTCACTCATAATGACCTTACGTATAACAGAACGAAACATTGCCAGGTCCTGTGCCATCCTCATCATCTTTGCTGTTTGAGCCCATTGTTGCAGCCGCTGGGTCAATCCATCTCATTGACGGTCTTTTCACTGACCCTCTACTTTACCAAGCATGATGTCCTTCTTCAGTGATTGGTTGGTCCTTCCTGATGAAATGTCCAAAGTAGGAGAGATGAAGTCTCATCATTCTTGCCTCTAAGAAGCATTCTGGCTGCACTTCCTCCAAGGCAGATTTGTTTGTTCTTCGGAAAGTCCATGGTATATTTGATATTCTTCGCCAACATCACAATTTGAATGTGTCCATTCTTCTTCTGTCTACCTTTCTCTTTGTCTAGTTTTTGCATGTATATGAGGCAATTGAAAATACCATGGTTTTGGGTCAGGGTACACCTTAGTCATCAAAGTGACATCTTTGCTTTTTAAAATTTTAAAGAGGTCTTTTGCAGCAAATTTGCCCGATGTAATAGGTTGTTTAATTTCTTGACTGCTGTGTCCATGGACACTGATTGTTGATTCAAGAGGAATGAAATCCTTAATAACTTCAGTTTCTTCACCATTTATCATGATGTTGTTTATTGGTCCAGTTGTAAGGATCTTCTTTTTTTTTATTATGTTCAGTTGAATCCATACTGAAAGCCTTTTATCTTGAACAATAAGTACTTCAAGTCATCTTCACTTTTGGCAAGCAAGTTTGTATCATCTGCATATTGCAGGTTGTTGATCAGTCTTCCTCCAATCCTGATGCCACGTTCTTCATATAGCCCAGCTTCTCGGATTACTTGTTCTTCATATAGATTGAATGAGTAAGGTGAAAGAATACAACCCTGCCCCACACCTTTTCCAATTTTAAACCATACAGTATCCCATTGTTCTATTTGAACACTGCCTCTTAATCCAGGGCCCACTTACGATATACCTAAATTCTTCAAACTGTCAAAACTGAATTTGTCTTTAGGAAACAATTTAGCTTTGAAAAGACACAGATTGTTGTACCTGGTTTGGTGATTTTTGGTATTATAGTCTCCTCCTTCCACCTCCCTCAAATAAGTATGCTTCCATTTTACTTGTGCCTAGCCATTTCCACCACTACCCATCTGTCAGTTGCTATACTGTGGTGGCTTACATGTTGCTATGATGTTGGATGCTATGCCACAAGTATTTCAAATACCAGCAATGCCACCCATGGTGGACGTGTTTCAACAGAGCTTCCAGACTAAGACAGACTAGGAAGAAAGACCTGGTGATCTATTTCCAAAAATTAGCTACTGAAAACTCTATGGATCAGAGCAGAATATTACCCAATACATGTACATGTTCCCAATACATGTTGGAAGATGAGCTGCCTAGGTTGAAAGGCACTCAAAATACATACTGTCTGCAATGATGGACTTGATCATACCAACAAGCATGAAGATGGTGTAGGACCAGGCAACATTTTCTTCTGTTGTACATGGGTTAGCCATGAGTCAGAGCCAACTCAACCGCAGCAACAACAACAGTCACTTTAAAGTATTCACAAATGCAATCTTGTCTAAACACAGTCAATAAACCTGAAGAATTTTGTTTTTCACATACAGGCCATTATATCTATCATCTTCTTCTTTGGCTTAATGTCCATTGACTAGATGCCTTTTGAAAGTCTAGGATTTAGTGGGAAGATAATACCTTAATCCCACTTTTTGCTGCTTGTTGTTTTTGTTAGTTGCCATTGAGTCGATTCTGACTCATGGTGACCTCGTGTGCTTAGGACCCCAATCTAAAATCCTACTACAGCTGAGGCTTTGCTGCCTCTGCTTGTATCAGTTTCAACCTGGAGTAGAAAAGCTGTTCTCTTCAACATTTAAGATTCAGGAATCTTAAAATTCAAATTTTAAAAATTTACTTTTTCTACCCTTTCTGCGTTTACACAGACTACCTCTCATCTGAGTTTGTCTCTTGTAGGGCATTGCTAAAAATTATTAAAAGATAAGCATCACTGCAAATCTTTTGAGTTTTTCCACAAATAAGATATAATAAGCTTCACTTAGCACCAGGTTCATTTGCATTTTAAAAAAGGATAGAGGACAGGAAATAATAGAGCAGGCCCAGCAACAACAGCAGAAGACTCAGGATTCCCAGCCATGGCTCTCAGTTTTTCTCATTCCTCCCTCAGGACATGCATCTCATAAGAGACAAGACTGAGTGTGGATGGAACAATCTAAGCTAAGAGAAGCCATCAGCTCTGGGATAGTTTTCCCCTGGTGAGTCTCATGACTAGCTAATTATACCATTCTTCCAAGTGTTCTTGATTATCTAGTAACAGACTCCTCAGCTGTGCTGCAGTGGTTCCAGTCCTCTGGGGCAGCTTTATCTCATCAACTCTAATGCTTATTTATTTATTTTCTTAGTTTATGTCTTTTATTAACCCATACACAATTACATGTCTTCTGGTTTGTTGAAGCAATAGGTCAGACAACACTTGCTACAATAATGTTTATCAAAGTGTCTGGCCATAAAAACTCCAGTACCACATTCATGTTAAGGGCACTCCCAACGAAGGTAACTAATTTTGCCATTCTCGTCCATCTTACAGTATTTTAGGACAGCCAGCTTAACCTTCTTTTTCTTATGCTTATTTTTCTTGGGAGTAGTGTAAGACTTCTTCTTCTTCTTCTTAGTACCGCTACGAAGTCTCTACACAAGATGAAGAGTAGACTCCTTTTGAATGTTGTAGTCAAACAAAGTAGGTCCATCTTCCAGTTTTTTGCCAGCAAAGATCAGTCTCTGTTGATCAGGAGAAATTCCTTCTTTATCCTGGATCTTGGCTTTTACATTTTCTATTGTATCTGAGGGTTCATCCTCAAGAGTGATGGTCTTCCCCATTAGGGTTTTTACAAAAATGTGCATCTTGGTGGTGGTTCCACTGTAGATGGCCGATCAGAAAGGAAGAGCCAATACTATTGATTATTAATCTCGATGAGGAAGTAAAAAAAGCATTTTCAAATATGTAGTATTTGACAAAATTCTCATTTATTTTGGATCCAGTATAGGTAATCTATTACCAGTTCCCTGAGTTAATATTGCAAGAGAATTTACCAAGGGCCAAATCATCGAATGAAACTTGAGAAAAGGCTACAGAACCAGCCACTGACTTTTCCCTTCCACCATTTCTCTTAACTCTGTAGTCCAGGTTAGCACATAGTCCCTGTCCTGGTTACAGCAAACAACAGTATAATCCACTAGTCAATACACTTAAAAGAGATCACGTATTTTTTAGACTGAGGAACTTAAGTCTGCTCTGTTCACTTCTCTGTCACTTCCAATCACCCAACATCATATCTTAGGGTCTGTCATTTGCTGTTACAATTATTGGCTCCTACTGGGTATATTTGTTTCCAACTGAAAATAAGAAAATGCCAAAATTACAGTGGACAATAAAAAGAATGGTTAATTTTCCTTGCATAATAACAGTGTGGACATAAGGATATGCTGCAATTTGTTCAGCTGTTCAGTACTACTAATGCCCCATGTGCACTGTCTTTCCATTCAACTATGCATAACGATTTGCCTTACTTAAGATTTTGTGGCATCACATTCATACTCAAGGCAGGAGAAAGAGGGAAGGGGCATTGCCCATGACCTCTGTCCTTTTTATCAGGAAAACATAAATTTTCCATGAGTCTAAGCATATTTCGTTTGTACGTCATTGATGAAAAAATTAGCATTAGCATTTAGAGTCTCCATTTTTAGAAGGATAAGGAAAACGGGTATTTGTAAACACGTCAGGTTAACTAATCAACAGTATTTGCCATAGCAGGAGTTCTCTAAAATTGATATTATTATTAGAGACCTACCTGTCTTAGGCTGGGCTCTGGAGAGGAGTAAAACTAGTGAAGCATACATAAACATGCAGAGAGAGATTTATTTCAAGGAAATGGCTCACACAATTGTGGAGGAGAGCAAGTCTCAAAGTCCGTAGGTCAGACATCAACTGGAAGCTTCTCTTGACTCACGTGGTTGCAGGGGCTGACAAACCCAGAATCAGCAGGTCTGACAGCAGGTTTCTGGCTCACAGGGCTGCAGAAGCTGGCGAATCTCAAAGTCGGTAGGGTAGAAGACTGGCTGCTGGCTCACAGGGCTACAGAGCTGGTGAATCCCAAAGTTATCAGGTCAGATAAGCTGCTGGCTCAAGTGCCAAGAACCAGAAGCCAGATGATGATAAGCTGGAAACAGGATCCTGAGCAACCAAGCAAGGTTTGCAGAACATCCATATATATTGCGTTCAGGCCACACCCCAGGGGAAACTCCTATTACAACTGTATGACAAATTGTTGGCCTCACACTCAGTCTACCTCCTAATAATTATAAACCTCCTTCAAGTGTCTAAATTAGCAAAAACAAACATAGGTATATGAAACAATGATGAAATTATATAAACCAGAATGTTAAATGGAACTTTATCTCTGAGTGGTATCATTATGCTCAATTTTTTCTTTATTCTGTGTTCTTTTTCTATACTTATCGAATTTTCTACCATAAAAAATATTACTATTGAATTGTATAGATTTATATACAAATTTTGGATACCTTGGTGGTGTAGTGGTTAAGTGCTATGGCTGCTAACCAAAAGGTCAGCAGTTCAAATCCACCAGGTGCTTCTTGGAAACTCTATGTGGCAGTTCTACTCTGTCTTATAGGGTCACGAGGAGTTGGAATCAATTTGATGGCAATGGGTTAGTTTAGTTAGTTATGTATAAATTGTGTAAACATCAAGAAGTCATTACATGCATATATATAGAGAGAAAGATAACTAATGAGAAACTAGTTCTCTTTATATATGTATACAGCGTATACATATATATGTATACAGAGCTTACATGTATGTATTTATATTTACATACATACAGAAGGAAATCATTTTTCATTAAATGTATATTTAATATCTACAAATATATCTCTCTAAATACACATATATCTATCTCAATTTTGTCGGCACAATTACAACTTTTAAAATTCTAATTTAAGAATTTCTGTTCTTTTTTAAAACTAAAATCAATTCTCATTCTCCAGATCTTATTTCTATAGTTAGTAAAATTCAGAATATATGAAAGACACAGATACTTCTTTATGTGAGCTAAGAGTTGGTATGGATAATAGAGAAATATACTAGAAGTTAGACTGAAGAAAGATAAATATGATAAATGAGAGAGAAATGTGCACCTAAGACTGTGTGGGGAGTAGCTCTAGAAGGGGAGAGGGAGTGTGATGGTTAAAGTTGTGTGTCGACTTGACTGGGCCATGATTCTCAGTAGTTTGGCAGTTATGATGTAGTTTGGCAGTCATATGATGATGGGATCATTTCCATGATGAGATTTGATATGGTAGGATCACCTCCGTGATGGGATCTGCTGTGAGAAGCCAATCAATTGAAAGGGAGTTTCCTTGGGGGTGTGGCCTGCATTGAATATAAGTAGACTTTCTGGCAAGGCTTGTGGGTTTTTGCTTGCTCTGGATCCTGCAGCTAGCTCCTGCTTGTCTGACCTCCAGTTCTTGGAACTTGAGCTAGAAGCTTGCCTGCCATCTTGCTTGCCAATCTTGGGATTCATCAGTGTTTGCAGCCTGTGAGCAAGAACCTTGCTTTCTGACCTGCCTATCTTGGGTTTGCCAGCCCCTGTGGCTACGTGAACCAGAAGAAACCTCCATCCTGACCCAAGGACTGGGGATGTTCTAGCCTCTACAACCATGTGAGCCATTTCCTTAATATAAATCTCTCTCTCTCTCTCTATATATATATATATATATATATTTTATGCTTTACTGATTTTGCTTCTCTAGAGAACCCAGCCTAAGACAAGGGGCTATAAGTGAATGCTCAGGACAGTTCATTATGGGAAGTCTTTGAATGAAAAATTGTACCTGTATGAAAGGGTGTGCTTTAGCTGTGTTGGAGAGAATATGATCTGGAAGATGGGTTTGGGGACATTGATGTAGAAATGAAGATGCATGGACAGAGAATTCGGTGATGTGCAACTGAGAAGTTGAGTCTTCCCAATTTTCCTCCCTTTCATTCCTCTCTGTATACTGAAGATGTTCTAGAACTCAGGGAGAACTCTTATGCTCCATATACCCATTTTCCATGTCCCAGTTTTGTTTTTTTGTTTTTTTTATTAATTACTATTGGCTACTTGCAGTGTGATACTGTCAATCTCATACCACCAATGACAACATGGCAAGTTATTGGGCTATTTCAACTTTGCACTGCCTATTTCAGGCTCTCAGGAAGGCTCTTAAAGAGGTGCCTTATAATTTAATTAGGCCCCAACTGGAAAGATCTTGCCATATTGAAATTAAAAAGCATAATTATCAAACCATTGGTAGTCTTTTTGTTGTTTTATAGATTCTAAGAAAGGGCTAGCAAAAACAATTGTTGGCTTTATTTTAGTCTTGCTCTGAGCTTTATGAGGGTTGACTATGCAGTAAAATGAAATTGTATTGAAAATGGATTGTAGACTTCAGAACATTTCCTAGTGCAGTGATTCTCAAAGTGAGGTCCTAAGACCAGCAACATCAGCTTCTCCTGGGACCTTGTTAGAAATGGAAGTTCTCAGAGTCTACTCCAGACCTGCTGAGTTGGAAACCTTGGAGTGGGGATGAGTAATTTTTATTTTAATAAGTCCTCCTTCCTCCAGGTGATTCTGATTCTTGCTAAGGTTTCAGAACCACTGTATACTGTTGCATACTGATTCTCAGAAGTTTTTTTTTTTTCCCCCAGTGTTTTCCTTCATTATTGGTATGTCCTGCATGTCTGCATGCTGGACTCAGCCAAACACCATTCTTACTTTCAGCTATTCTTGCAAAGAAAAAATTGCTACCTCTTTAAATTAGGATAAAAGAACTTCTGAATGTGTCCATGCTAGATGCTAATTATTCAATGCTAGCTCTTCTCTCTGCTTCTTAAAACTACTATGAAACTCTGAGTACTATATCAACACTGAATTGATCGATTAATTAAGATGTTCCCTCTATGGAGTACAAAAAGTTTCTTTAAAAAGTAGGTGAAGACATATGATAATGTACATGTCTTTTCATGGTTTTCCTAAATACCCATCTGTTATGGATTGAATTATGGCTCCCAAAATATGTGTTGTAAATCCTAACCTGTATTCCTGTGGTTATAATCTCGTTTGGGAATGGGTTGTCTTTGTTATGCTAACGAGGTAAGATTAGTGTAGTGCATATCTTGAAGTCAATCTCTTTTGAGCTATAAAAGAGATTAAACAAGCCAGCAGAGCAGAGATGGTGGAAGATAGATGCCAAGCCACATGAAGATTGCATAGGAACAGAAGCTCAAAGAGACAAGGACCTTCCTCTACAACCGACAGAGATAGAAACCCTTCCCCTAGAGCCAGCTCCCTGAATTCAGACTTCTACCCTCGTAAACTGTGCAAAAATAAATTTCCGTTCGTTAAAGTTACCTGTTTTTGGTGTTTCTGTTACAGCAACACTAAATAACTAGGACAGGGAGTCAGAAATTTTTCCCAGAGGGATGATGTCTGATGTGATGCTTAGAATTATTTATTAAGCAAAATTCATGCTAGGACCACTGTAATAAATAGAACTTTCAATATTGTTCTATATTAGAAGCCTCTAATACATCATATTTTAAAAATCCATCTTAGAGAGAAAGATGCCACTTGTATAGCACTTCCAGTTTCTGTCCACATAGGTCCTAAAGTCTCAGCAACTTACGACCAATATGAGCCCATGAATAAATCCATTTTTGAACTTCATGCTTTTCTACTTTTTATTATGTGAAAACATACAAATATTTCAGTCTTAGACAGATTCCTGATTTTAGGTATGATGACCAAATTTGTAGACATGTAGTGATTAAATTGTTCTCTTTA